ATTTCAAAATGAAGATGGTATTTCTCTGAGGCAGGTCCCATTTGACAGCCAAAGCCACACAGTTCAGACAACACTACTCAAACCAGCTTGAAAAACAAGAAGAAATTTCAGCATCACGGGTGCACTGAGAACACAAGAAGGAGACCCAGCTAGGTTCTTTACCACCTCTCTCCAACTCACACAAAAGGATATCAATACAAATCAATACAACATCCAGAAAGAATAAAGTAGTAGTGTTTTGTTTTCATCTTCTATTTCTCCAGCACGTTTTCAGCTCCTGAATTCAGAGCAGGAACCAAAAACATGTTTTAGTGTCAAAACCTGCCACCTAGAGAGCAAAACCACGAAAGAAAAGAAAGAGGTTTGCAGGCTGGTTTGGTTTCGTTGGGTTGCTTTTACAGCAACTATCTCATAACATTACAGATGTGCTGGAAACTATAAATTTGCTGTGCTTTTACAGACACAAAACAGATTTTTAAGAGACTCTTAATTATGTATCTGCACAGCCCAGACATCGTTACAGGCTACTGCGCCTTCTCCCAGCACAAACACTGCTGTGTGTAGTTTAGTGATTATAGGACAGGAAAACATTCTTTTTCCCAGTTCTACGAATTTATGTGGTTTGTGTAAACAGAGACCAACCTCTTTCCTTTCCCTTACAGATCACGTAACTGTTGCAGAAAGCAAGTCAGTTTTTAACGAGAAGAAGTTTTGAGTGCTTTGAGTGGCAGTGAACCGTCTGGGTCCGAGTCTGGTAGCAAGCCATGGATGCTCAGTAGGTCTGACAAATGTCAGGCTGCAGACACCATGTGCCAGAAAGCCTAGACTGGAACCACCAACAAAATAATATAATAACATAATTTAAGAAATAACAATCACAGTGCACTTCTGAGAATGTTTCCAGAGATTTTTAACTGGAGCAAAACTTTCAGATTTCCACTTCTAGGGAAATATCCCGTTTACATCTCAAATTCAAATGGAAAAAGTTGCCAATTCCCTTTTGAAAACGGCAAGTGGTTCAGTATTTGAGTGATGAAACATTTTCAGAACTGTAAATTTTGATTCCAAGTCAAATCAACACTAAACCATATTCTCACAGATGGGAGAAAAGGGGATATATCAAAATAACCCTCCCTTAAAAATGTACCTATCAGGTTTTAACTCCTGCACAAATCATCTCCATAACATATCCACTCTCAGGGCTCCCATGCTTGGTTATATGGACCAGGCAGGAAAGAAGGAAAAGAGGCAGATGAGCCATTGCTACAAATTTGGAATAGAGAATTACTGACTTTTAATTGTGAATTACCTTACTTAGCTTCCACCACCACTCATTTCCATTAAACCTCTGTGAAGAGTCCTCAGTGCTTCGGGTGGCATAGAGCAAAGGTCAGATGCAACTTAAACAGCAATTCCCATATGTGCTGCTTAGCATATATGTCCCATATAGCACCTCACACACCTATAGCTTAGGTCCCATATAGCACCTCACACACCGTAACTGCAGGAGACCAATGTACCACTCAGTGCCAAGATGTACCTCTGACAGAGAAACACAGTTTAACCCCTCATTAAATAATTCAGAAGAACTGATTATTTAACAATATGGCCAAATGCATGTAGCATAAACCCCATTTAATTGCTCGTGGGGTACTGCCAAGTTGATGCCCAAGAGACTTCTTTTCATTTTGATGTTAAAATTTCTATGGAAAACGTCCAACCTGGACTCTCCCCTCTTCACCAGCTATTTCTAGTCACCATGAAGCCAGGGGCTGCCTCAGCACTCCCAGCTTTGTTCAGATGCTTCAGGAGGAACAGGTGAATCTGCTGCCTGCCAAGTGTCCACAGCAACACAGCTCCTTCTACCACTGCCTTGAGAAATGACCAGCAGGTTCCTGCTCACGTTATCAGATTTGCACATAGACCCTCTTATGAAAAGATCTGATCCAATACTGCCCAGTGACGGGCAGTGGGAATGGGAAGGCACAGGTGATGGTAAACTGAGCAAACTATTTCTTAGTGCATTTAATACTTAATTCCACAGTTTCAACACAATTAAGAGCTTATTCTTTGGACATCGCAAGTTGGCTACCACTTTGAAGCCATCAGCACAGAAGCCAGCCCCTGAGGTGGTTCTTGAAACCACTATTATGTCTCTCAGGGCTCAGATCTTGCTACTTTCTGGCCCAATTTGCTCTGCCCCCACCCCTCACTTGGCTGCTACCAGGTGATACAATCACTAGACCTGCCAGGGACCAGTGCCCGAATCCGAGCAGAGGTCAGTCACCACTCCAGGCTGAAGGACAACGTGACTTTGTAGGTACTTTCAGTCTACCTAACTAGCAGCCTTCTGCCAGAGCGCAGCCTCTAATCCACTTGTCACTGGTGAGGTCCATTGTGAGTGCTCCTCTCCTCACCTTAAAGCTTGAAATCTATTGTCTGATCTGCAAAGAACTAAGTTTCATCTTCAACTAAAACCACCTAAACCACCTCAATACAACAGCTGACCGCTTTTAATTAGCGCTGTGCTAGGGCCCTGTGGAATTGCAATCCACCACCAAAGGAAGCAGGTAAGCAAGAGGATAAAGCAGCACATGCAAAATCTGGGACAGTTTGAAGAACCATGGTGAACCTCAGAAACTATGACAACAGCTATTGAGAGATCCACCACCAATCATCTCAATAATCCCATACAGTTTTAAGAACATCCTGACACTTGAGTACAGAGCGGACCCACCCTTCAGCAGCCTCTCCTTCCCTCTCCACCTTCAGTGCACAAAGGAGACCTTCACCGACCAAATGAATTGGCATCAATGTTTCCCTTTGTTTTCATTAGTGACCGTCAATAAAGTGAATCTTAAGAAATCCCCTTGCTAGGATCTCACACCTGAGCATCATTTAAAGTACAAAGTTACAGAGAGTAACTTACCACTGTCTTGCCCCAAAATATTACATAACAAAACATTCATCCTGCAAAACGGCATAAATACAGAAGAAAAAAAGTCAGGCATCAATACACTCTAAAAAACACAAAAGACATAGTATTCGTTAGCCATGACAGACATCTAATCAATCTCCAAAATAATTATTAACATCAAACTCAAGGGGCATCTACTAGCGAGAGTATTGGGTATCATTCAAAGACAAATATTGCCCAGTAAAAGAAAAAAAGCATGAAGTGGCTCTACATCCTCTTCTCTTTGTTCAAGAAAGTCAGCACAGCAATGAATTCCACTGACCGAAATGAACATCTAAAATTTATCACTCAAAAGTGCAAGTGACTTATGGACAGACACCATTGTGAAGTCTGGATCAAGAAAAAAAAAAAAGACTATTTCGTACTTAATGAGAACATAAACAGTAACATTAGCAATGTTTCTGCTGCATGTAAAAACTAATTAGGTTATAAACTAGCAACAGGTTCAAAGCTCAACATTAACTTAACTGTTTTTCTTTAAAAAAATAAATACATGAACAATTTTGCAGATCAGATTACTTGAAATATTTATTCACAAGTACATACAGTATTAAACAGATGTGAATGTATTTTCCAAAGAGACACTGCCGTTAGCAACGTAAGAGGCTCCGATACTTGCCAAGTGCACACTTTTAGGCAGCAAGAGAAAACCGCAAAAACTTAAGTCTTTCTATCAGACAAGGTCAAATTTCTTCCCCATCCCTGGGGTGATGCTCAGTTCCAGGCCAGTACAGGCTGCCCCAGGCTTGAACAGAACCTGGCAGCTGCGAAGGTGCAGCACCGGATGACTGCTGCAAACGTCAGATTCAACGTCGCATTTGTAAACCCGCCCTCAGATTTCAAGATATGAGGAAACACTTTCTCAGGGCACAACCGTCATTGCAGTTTATGGCTGTCTTCCAAAACAGCCAGTGTCTCTAAAAAAGCTTCCATGGAGCAATCCCTAGCAGGAAACTTACTACACCTCAGTTGTCCTGCAAGGTCATCTGTTGTAACACTGGTGGCAATGATGAAATTCAGGCAGTTCATCAAGAAGCATTACCCATCCCAAAATTTGTGTTGTGGAGAAACCCACCACTATAAGTTACTTCAATTAAGAGGCTTATAAGAAGACAGGTTGCAATATCCTGACATTTGCTGGTGAAGAACTGCACTCTTACACAGGCTGAGACACGCTGGTACTGGTATTTCTCCAGTTAAAGGGCATCGTTTGGTCTTTTTGCTCCTGATCAAATCAGGCACCGCCAGAAAACTGAGCGGATCTAGTAAGAAAATTGCCATCTGTTGTCACAGGCTTTACCAAATGATTTACCACTCAATACTGCTTTCAGTGTCCAGCAACAGGACGTCAGGTTCCCTTCAGTAAATCATACCAAGGTGAATAATACAACATCTGGTCTCTGTGTCCTAAGGTCTACACCATCTGACTGATGCCTGACCACATAGGAAGCATATTAATACACATTCAGTGCAGCAGAGATATGACCTGTCCTTTTATGCATTTCTTCACGGCTTAGCTCTAGGAACTGTTAAGTGCCAGCATCAAGATACCTGCCTACTGCTTGCATTAGGAAGAGAAATTCCACAGGCATCTGAGTAAGAAAACTAAGAACAGTTTTAAACAAATAACAACACAAGTTTTCCTAACAGCACCTTTATGGAACACAAGGTTAGCTTTAGACAAGTGCCAGGCTGCACAGATTTTCAGTCTTATATATAAAGAAAGCAATCTCGGGTTTAGACCATCCTGATAAAACTTGTAACATTTACAGGCACAGTGCTTGGGCTATTTCCAAAGTGAAAAAAAAGTCTTTCCATTACAGTGCTGGGAGTGGTTAACACAAAAGATACCTTATTACATTCTTTTCCAGAGAATAATAATTCTCCTCCATTATGTCCCAATGTTATGAGGATTTTGGAACACACAATGCAATCCTAGTTAAGATAAAGAGGAAATTAAGGTAATGTAAGCTAAAGATCAAATCATTTTCATAGTCACAAACAATTTTGAATATATATTTGCATGGAAAATTAGATTCACTTTTGTGAATCAAAATTCTATCTCTCCATGCAAAAGCAGAATTCCCTGTCAGTAGAGGACTACACTGTGCATGGCTCATCAGCCTTGAAAGGAAAGTCTGGACTTCAGGCATATCCAGCTACATGGATCAACAAGCAATTCCTTCAGATCCAGCAGCTTTGGTTTAATGGACGGAAACTTTGGCCTATTGTTAAAATAAACACACTTGCCAGTAAGAAACAAGTAAGATTGGATTTTTTAAAAATAACGCAAAGTGTGATATGTGCGTAAAGTCAGTGCCTTGACCCTTAAAAGCATCTCTATAAGCTACTTTACCTTAAAATGGGCAGTGCTTAAGTTAAAAAAGATTCAGACCTTCAAGGCTGATTATTTTGTTTGTGATGGTTGAAGAAACAGCTCTGTTTCAGGAATTCAAAAGATGAATCAGATTTAGTAGTAGATTTATTAATTTGCTGTGATTTACAATGAGGTGATCACGCCTGAACCAAGGAGACAACAAAACAGGTTTAGCCAGGAGGTTTATGGCTTCCAAGTCGAATTCAAAGACCAATGTCATTCATTTGGGCAACTGAAGATGAGCAGACAAAAGATAAGTGAAGGCCAGGTGCTGCACTGATGTTTTGGAGACAGTATTCCAAAGCGTCTTCTCTTAGAGCAATTTCCTTTTCTCAAACTCCTGCAAATAGCACACAAACACATTACAGGTGGAAAAAAAAAAGCTTCTATTACTATTTTATTTTAAATTACTTTGTATTTATCTTAGCAAATCTGATTTTTGGAATTAAAAATTAAAACATAAAATGCATAATGTGTGCAAGTTAGAGGAAAGGAGGACAAGTATCCTCCCACTTCACATTAACAAACCAGCTATGAAAAATCAGTAGTGCTAGACTGCAGTCAGTGCGCTGTACTCAGATTGCAACGCTGTCGAGGAACCGTTTGCTCCCAGGCACAGCATAACGGGCTTGAAAAACACTAATTCTGCACAAGAACTGCAGCTGAATCCTTACAGTAAAGTATTCAAGCCAGGGAAGAACGAAGTAAAGATTTACATTTGTAAAGAAAAAACACAACAGAAGAAAAGAAGAATCCCACAGCAGCCTGTGAAGATGCTACACTATACAGGCACCACAGGAAAAAAAAAACATCTAGCACAGCTGAATTATGCATTCCCTTTAGCTGTGAAACAATACCTTTTTTTGGATATGAATTAAGAAAAATGCAAATAATCCTGTTCCATACATAATTTTTCAGCTGTATGCATTCAACCATAATTCTGAATTAGTACTTAAAATAGATAGAGCTATATGCCAAGGCTTTCCTTCCTCAAATACCGAACCTGCAAAGAATGTTTTCATATTTTAAATTAACTCAGGTTCTTTGCATCCAGAAAACACAGTTCAACAAGTTGCCACACTTGAAAGCAAAATGTAATCTCTTCTCTATTTTGCCATGTTTACTTTTCTATGAAGGCAACATCACATGAAACTACGTGTGCGTATTATCTAAGTAATAACTGCAGCTTGCTCAGTCAATAACTTGGTTATGTTTAATCAAGTTCAGAGCAACAGAATATCTGGGTAAGAGAGGTACTCCCAACTCTTATTCCCTCAAAAGTAGCTTCTTGCTCTGGATAAGTAGGTATGCCAATTTCTGAGCAACGAACCTTGTAGATGGTGCTACCTAGCTGAGCAGGAGACATGCTCACAACAACTCCGGCGCTCTGAAGAGCTGCTATCTTCTCTTTAGCTCCACCCTTGCCTCCAGCAATGATTGCACCAGCATGACCCATGCGCCTGCCTGGAGGAGCAGTCAGACCCGCTATGAATGACACCACCGGCTTGGCGTTTGGACCCTGTGAAGAAAGAAAAGGTGCTGTTAGGCGCTGTAAAGGTGTTACGTGGGGGAGGGTGAGATGAAAAGTAATTCCAGATGGCAGGTTTTTCATATTTTTTTTTTAAATAATAAAATATTAAATAAACCCAACTAACCAGGCAAAGATATTAAACAGCTAGAAACCTCAGACAACACAGAACCAAGAGTATGAAGAGTGTGGAATATTCTCTCTCCTGATAAGCATCATAAACCATAAGCAATCAGAAACTTTAAAACATCTTTCTACAGAGCCATGTATATTACAAAAACCAGGATGTTCACTGCAAATATAATTACAGGATTAAAAATCTAAAGTTGACATTGCTCTCTAGTTAGATGTAATCTGGACAAAGCTCCTAATTTCAACTCTTTCTCCTTAATAAAAGTATGACTGTTTGGTTTTTTTTGTAAATAGTGATTAGAGATTGAACTGAGTTTCCCTTGACATGGCACAAGAAGATGGCTAACTGGCAAGAGAAGCTGGCTAACTACTAAGGTGTCTGGAAACAAGCTGTGTAAGACTTACAGTATTATTTTCTTTCAAGAATGCTGCTGCATCTTCTTCAGCATTTCCTCCAATTTCCCCAATCAATATGATCCCCTCAGTATGAGGATCCTTCAGGAAGACATCAAGGCAGTCAATAAAATTAGTTCCATTGAAGGGATCACCTCCAATCCCTGAAAAAAATTCAAATCACAAAAAAAGGACTAACTCAAGATAATGATATTGCATATACAATAAAAGTTTCAAAGTAAATTTCAGCATGAAGAGTACTCCCAAATGCTCAAAAGAGGGGCAGCTCTGAAGGCTCTTCCCAAATCAGAGTGCACCAAATTCCTGTTTCAAATATCTCCCCTGCAATTTACAGAAAGCTTTGATATCAGAATAATCATCTTTCAAACCATAAGCAAAACATTTTGCCTTATTCAGAGGCTCTGTATAAGACACAGCAGGACCAAGACACCAGCTCTAGTATTCCACTGTAAGAAAACCGAATTCACTTAATATACCCAACTAAATGCCTAAGAATGTCCTATCCCTTTATAATATTAAACTTCTGGGGATAATTTGTGTCCAAATTGATGTAATATTTGCTGGCAGTTCTCCGTTCAAAGCTGGTTTTTAGGTTTTTATTAATCTGATGTGGAAATCATAATAGAGCAAGGTTATACACTTCACAGCACACAGGGATCTCATTTCTGCACATAATTGCCATTCAGCAATTTCTTGCAAAAGAAATGATTTTGAATTTCTTCTTGTACAGAAAAAGCAGATTAGTCTAGGTGCAACAGGCTGTTTTCCGAGGAAACTTACCAACGCAGAAAGACTGTCCCAATCCCACTTGTGTTGTTTGATGAACAGCTTCATATGTCAGAGTTCCAGATCTTGACACGATACCTTTAGGAAAGAAAAGGAAGTAAACTTAAGTGCATGACTAGAGGCAGCTGCTCTTATATTCATGAAAATCACCTTAATAAATTAAACATGACATGCCAGCTTTTCCAGATATCCTCGCCAAAACATGAAAACTCTACATAAGATTCCGTCTGTACTATTTCTTGGTTGGCATTTTTTTTTTTGACACTTAACTGTCAATAGACTAAACCTGCCCAGAAAGTCAGTAATATTGGCTGAGACAGCATTCCTCATGCTACAGCTTTATCAGGAAAGAAAACTAAAAACAAAATAGAAGAATATGCTTCTTGTCTTGTATGGGAGTAGCTGATGCACTGAACTTGAAACACAGTTTCGGCTCAACAGTTAACAAAAGAATTTCGCATTAATCACATTCCCAGTAGTCAGACACAGGAGAGATCCTCCAGAACAGAAATACACTGCACACATGCAAATTATCGCTATTACGGTACTTGTTGCTGCAGCTCTCACTGCTCTACAATACACATTCAGCATTTACATTACAATATGACGACAGATCCCAATCCTAGTTTTCAATTCAGGATGGAAGGTAATACAGAGCCTAGATCAGGGGAAAAATATTTGCATGGCTTTTTGTTCATTTTTCCAAGTTAAGACTTCTGCTAATACTACAAAAGGGAAGGTTTTCAGGAAAAACAGACATCATCTTCCATCTATTTCAAGCCATCTAACAAGGAATGTAATAAGCATATTGCATGAACAGAGGAAAAAATACACCTCTAGACAAACAACTTCACCTTTATCAACTGTTTATACTGTTGGACAGCACAGATATCTACTCACAAAGGGTTTTTTCTTGCTATCTTTGCAAAGGGCTTCCTATTTGCTACTAAGATCAGATTGCTTCACAGAAGCTATAGATAAAGGTCCAAAGACTTTGGCTATTTTTATAGCTTGCATCCCAAGATTATCAAATGATTCTTGGACACCTCACAGTAGTAGAAAACTGGGGAGTGTAACACCAAAGGTCACAGTGTTACATGAAGCTGGGAGGACGGAAAAGTTACATTTTTATTCCCTGATCCTTGGATCACCATTGAAAATGTTTCCAGCAATGGTGGGGCAACTGGATTAAGGATTTAAAATACTCTTTTGCACTTGATGTGCCTTGCATTCAGGTTCTAATATCTTGTAACTACAAGAAATTTCTTGTAGATATTTCGAAAATCTTAACACAACTTTGATTCAGAAGGGAGCTCAGGGCAACATCAGCTGATGCTACCTTTTACAGTCATAGAGTAATGTCTTGATGGTATCTCCAAAGGGCATAATTGCAGTCATACGCTGTTTCAGTTTGAGGTTTATAGGTACTTCTGAAAGATGGACGTGTGACAAGTGTTAACACATCCTCCAGCATTCACTAGGTACAGCTTATCCTCAAGTCAGAAGTGGTTAAGTAGCAGATACAGAGTTTCTCGTGTCAGAAAAACAGCATGAAGTCCAGGTAGCTCAAGAGCACTGAATAGATCTTTCCACAGTTCTAACGGTCATGTTGCAAAGGGTACTGTCCTCAAGTTAAACTGGTTACTCCGCTGACAGATAACAGCAGCATATGCTGTCCACAATGTTTCTGAAGCTCTATTCAAGTACAAATGCATATTTTGGAAGAATTTTCTTTATAGCTCCTGAACAGCATTATTTCAAAAATAATCAAGTTGTTATTTCCATAGTTTAGAACAAGGAACCAAGAGAAGTCAGGACAAGAGACTTGCATGTAACAGAATGCATAACTAAAGTATGATTATGAACAAGTCCCTGCCTTTCTGACCTTAATTCTGCTGTCTGAGAAGTGGGTACATTTGTCCCTTCCACTCACCACAGTATAGTTGTCTAAACTATCATATTATAAACTTGCCTGTAATTTCTTCTCTTTGCTATAAACCTGAGCTCGATATAGGTGTAGGATCCTAGTCCTCAGGAGCCAAGCTGTTGGAAGGAATAGCGTGGGAGAGCTTAGTGCTCTCAAATCCCAAGACAAACAGAGGTATCATCAAAGGAAGGTGTTAAGGAAACTAAATCAATCACATTACCTAAGGAAACTTCCAATCGCTTTGCCTCTACCATCAGTACTCAGTGCCTACTAAGGTAGAATGACTGATTTGGCCTTCAGGATTGATAATGGCAAAGTTCACTTACAAACTGAAGGACAAACAAGCTGTTGTACAGCATGTCAACTGTCTTCAGGGCAGGACGTGACCAGCCTCATGAATAAGAACACTACAGCACCAAACTTCAGTTTTAGATGATGCATAAATATTCAAAAACTCACCAATTCTTCCCTTCTTGTGAATGTGACCAGGCATGAT